TCGCCAAAATTTACGAAATTCAAGCGTTTCATTAATCTTTTGTGAACTGTAAAGACAATAGCAGAGATAAGCAACATTCATTATATAGTTAAGCATTTGTCAGCTAGAACCTTATGTTATTTATTTTGTGAAATATATACACAAACATGTGGTTTAACGATGACTTTCAGCCTAATCCAATATTAATCATTAAAACGCTTAAAAAACTGAATCATATTCAAGCTGTTTCGTACTGATGATTTCTTGCTATTGACTAGGTCTATAATTCTCTCAACATCAGTTGTAGTAAAGAGCACAAAAGCATTAACGTTTTATCAATGATTCGAAACCCGGTTGTTCATATTTTCTAACTTCATACATTTCACAATATAATTTAATCCTCTCAGTCAGTCAGACAGCTACAACGTGGTACCAAGTACATATGTACATCGGTCCAAGTTATCATACCCCATTAGTACAACAATATGAACACCAAATTCATAGAAGTAGTTACTTCAATGATAGTAATATATAAAAGGAAGACTGTGTATAAGGATATAATACAGGAAGAAAGAATTAGTTCGTAGAAAGAAAAATATGAAGCGATTTTATTCTCTTAGTTTGAGGGAAGAATTTGTTCGTTTAATCCTCTGAAGACATTAGTAAAAAGTAAATGTAACGTGGGAGAAATTAATTTGTAAAATTTATCAGAATCACAGCAAATAAGTCCTACGGTTAAAAGTATACCATGAGGAGGAGCCAATCGGAATCGACGATGTGACTTTTAGGTCTTTGCGTAAAATTCAGATGCCATGTAAAATGATAAAAAAGAAAAAAATCCTTGTGTACTGCTTATGACTTTTAAAATGATAATAAACAACAACCATATAGTTAAAAAGATAGTGTTGCACGTATCGAATGCCCAATTATATATAACTATAAACCCTTGAGCAAGAAGTTGTGACTCGTACAGTACAGGTGTCGTAGGATGAAAACAACTTTCACCGATAATATCGGTAAATTATTTGGCTATTTAACAAATTGAAGTTTGAAATCTGTACTGTTAAATTTCAACCTAGTGATTTATCTATCAAGCATTCATCAAGAGACCTGGAGGTTCTAGGTTCGATCCTAGGTCGTGCAGTGTGTAAATATTGTTAAGGATTCCTATATCAAGATGAAACACTTTCTACTCCTCCTTAGTATTCGACAGTATATGAAATAAGGTCAATCTTTGGTGAATCTAAAAGGTACAATTATTTTTATTTAATTCCAGAAGGATTGAAAGAGAGGAAAGTTGAAATAAAATTGATAACCTACTGGTAGAAATTTGTAATTCCCATTTATTATTCAAAACAGTAATTGATTAGTCTTTGTTGACATGATGTCTATTCTGAATGAACTACCTTGATATAACATTGTACTACAAGTTATAACAATCGAATTCAAGACACAGCGTTTCATCCTACCTGATGTTCTTTCACACTGTGAGTTTGACTACATAAATTTTACTTCAAATATTTAATGAATTGTTTACTAAGCTAATAAGTAAAGCTAAATATACCAAATAGGATGTATAATTACGTAGTCTCAAAATTATACATCTATTATGAAATGAATGATTGATAATGATAACTGTTGCTTGGTTAAAATATCTCATAAATCTTAGAAAGATCTCACTCATTTTTATACTCGTTTATTTTACATCAAAAAGAAAGAGAAAAATATAGAAAGTTATTTTTAGTTATTTATTTCGATCGATCAATCAATCAATCAATCAGTCAATTAATCAATCATTTGAAAGATTTAAAATGTTTTAGTAATTTAAAAAAATCGATCGAATTTAAATTGATGAAGCCAAAAAAAATTTAAGTGATCATATTATTATGTATTATGTAAGGATTTGAATTATTTTACTGTTCAGTCAGTCAGTAACAACGTAGAACTTCGTACGTACGTACGTACATCAGTTCGAGTTGCCATACCACATTAGCACAGAGATGCAGTTGTCGATTCAAATCCCATAATGGTAGAGGTAGTAAGAGTATAAGCAGTAATCGGAAAGATTAGGGTTTGAAGACGTTCTTCAAGGAGTATAATCCAGTGAAATAAATTTTGAAAGTGAAAAGAATAGGGTACATGAAGAATTCAGAAGATTATAATTTGGGAGAACACAAATAGTGGATGCACCTGCACTATTGCAAACGATTATGAGCGATGTCATTCAAGATCTCTAATTATTGATTGCTATCATCTCGCGGTCCTCAACCAGGTAGTCTACACCTACCAACATGGTTGATGATATTCTTGATTTAATTTTGATCAAGTCTTATAAATTCCATTTGTCATCCCAAATTTTTCATAATGAAAGGTATTAGGTTAGAGATCTAGTGTGAATATTAACAACCCTTTGATGAATCGTATATAACATGAGACATATTTGTTTTGTATTTCATTATTAATCATAATCCATCTATTATTACATCATCATATTAATATAAGCTAAATTGTTAAGTATTTCAGAATTAATATCAGAAGGGGTTTTGTCGATATTATAGTAATTTCAATGGTTGAGATCATGAGACCACCATGGAAAACCTGAAAGCACTGAACAGGCATTTCGTCCTATTGTGATCTCAACCATTGAAATTCACAAATACACTTCTGATATTAATCAACATATGCTGACGAGTAACTGGATTCAAGAGGTATATTCTAGAGTTCTCGTGAGAAGCAGTGACCAGTGGAGTTCAACTGGGTCTGTTGTGATATATGTGATGAATGTGTCGCTCAATTTCGTGGATTGGTTGGAGTTAGACAGTAACACCGTTAGATGCCGGCCTTCTCAGTGGTGTAGAGGTTAATCGCTCGCGCGCGAGACTGACATGTCTTAGGTTCGTATTTCATTATTTCTACAAAATTTACAATTTTATAACATACAGTGTTGTAATATATAGATAAGTAATCTGAGAGTAAACTGATTATTTATTAATAAAATTAATTAAATTCTTGCTATAATGATGACTGAATCAATGTAGAAAACATGAACTCAGTCAGTCAGTCAGTTACAACGTTGGACCAAGCATATACATGAATAGGTCCAAGTTACCATACCTCATTAGCACAGCAAGACGTACACGGGATTTAAAGAAGTAGTTAACTCATTGGTGTAATATATAAGGGAAAGATTTTATGTAAGGATATAATACAAAAAGAAAAAATTAGTTCGTAGAAAGAAAGATATAAAATAATTTTAATTTCATCGTTTAAGAGAAGATAAACAGTAAACTACTGGATACTGATCCGTTAATCGAATGTCTAAGGTACATATATTATATAATTTACATTTATTAAGCCATGGATAATGCTTTTAACTTTGGACCTCATTAATTTCATAAAAGAAGCCAACGATATTATCTGTCTATCGAAGCTCAAATAAATAAAACATGATACAAATATGTTCTGTCTTCCTTTGAACTATAAGATTAAAATTGCTTCATATCTTTCTTTCTACGAACTAATTCTTTCTTCCTGTATTATGTCATTATATACAATATTTCTTTTATATATTACTATCATTGAATAAATTACTTCTATGAATTCAGTATTCATCTTGTTGTGTTCATGAGGTATGGCCACTTGGATCGATGCATATATATACTTGGTCCTACGTTGTAACTGACTGATATGATACCCAAATAATTGTATTTAATAGCAGTACTGTTCATTTATCTATTTATTTTAAAATTGATTCCTTTTTATCAGACCGTCTAACTTTAAATGTTAAACAGTTCCCAACAGTTTAGTTTCTAATACGATTGTTGAACAGAATTATTCAGTTGAAACTATGCTATATTACACTAAAGAATTAACTTATGTATGAACTAATCTTATAACTACAATTTATCCATGTTACCATATGTGATTTATGTAAATTTTCGGAAAGATCTAAATGTTATGTAATACATATTTCTTCTTTTCTTTTTTAAACGATCGACTGAATTCATTGTGAAATGGTGGAGAAGATTTGTAGCTCAGGTGGATGATTTTGATGGAGTTTTATTCTCTGAGCTGGATTGTTTGGTCGTGGAGCTTTCATCGTTCTTCTGAACGACATCATCAGCACAATCTTCAGATAGATTTTAGAGACTTTTATCTGAAGTTTATGCTGATGATGTCGTTCAGAAGAACGATGAAAGCTTCACGACCAAACCATTCATTTCAGAGAACAAAACTCCATGAAAATGAATTCATGTTTTCTTTTTATAAAGTACTGTATTCTCTAAGTAAGGTGATATTCATTTTGTTTAGTAAAAAATAGTCTCTAAATGTAATAGTATATGATAGAAGTTCCTTTTATATAGAGATCCTATATCATAACAAAATTTCCCTTATAGACTATACCTTCAACTAATAAACTTTGGTTCATACATTTTTACTGTGAAATTTATAGTTTCTTCTAGGTTTTCAATGATGATCTAAAATTGATCAGTTCAGGAACTCAATTAAAACTCAACAATCTCTACAATTGTATACACAGAAACAGAAAACTCTTGTGTGAAATAAATCTATCAGAAAAATAAGTGATAACACATCAATATAGGTCCTGGGTTTAAATCTCGCAGGATGGGATCGTGGATATGCACTGCTGAGGAGTCCCATAATAGAACGAAACGACTGTCCAGTGCTTCCAGATTTTCCATGATAGTCTAGCTTCAACTGACTCATGAATTCAATTATAAAATGACATCAATGTAAATTTGAAAGTCGAATTTCTTCATTCGAAACAGACAGAATCAAATCATTAACGGAACAGGGTTTTTTTTGTTTCCATCGTTTACTTATCATATCTCACTTAATGATGCAAATAATTTACACAGATTAATGTCTGTATAACCATTTTATCAGTATAAACGTTTATAGTTTTGTAATGGAACCGATAGTGAAGATATTTAACATATTCAAGTGAAGAATGAAACCTTTTTTATTAAAATACTTTATATATACTATATATTACTTACCGTCCTGATTTGGTAATTACCATTTCAGTAGTCATACTATGAAAATGTTTCCATAGATCAGAGTCTAATAATTCAGTTCGTTGAACTAGTGAACCTATTTGATCTGATTCATTTTCTAATAAGTCATTCATGATATATGAATTAGATGGCTGATAACCATTACCATTATTGTTATTGTTATTATTATTATGGCTACTGTTATAAGTAGTAGTGGTAGTAGTAATAGTAGTATTAACCATAGTAGTATTCTTACTACTACCAGTTGAACTAACGATATCACGAATAGTTAATTTCTCTGGGAATACATTTAAATGATTTAATTTAAATTTTAAATTTTCTTGATCATCCACTATGTTACATTTCATAGATTTTTGCAATCCATCTTCAATGTTTAAATAATTTGGATTATGTAACAAATTATAACGATGTTGACTAGATTTGTCACAGTGCAATATATGATCATCCATAAATTGGTTTTCTGTAGTAGTAGTAGTAGTTGTTGTTGCTGTTGTCATCGTCGTAAGTCCTTTTGTCGACGATGGCGATGATGATGACGGGGAAGTGAAGGGTCCAGACACAGATGATAATGTTAATGTTGGTGACTTATTTAATTGATTAGGTGTTGATATCAACGAATCAACATTTCTTTTCATAAACATCATCATTAACATCATAAGTAATACATTATTATTATTACCACTATTATTATTATTATCATTATTATTATCAATATTATCTGGCCAATTAGCAGGATCATTCAAATAATCTTTTGAACAATATCGGGAATCCCACTGGTCACGGAGATAATGATGATAATAATCATCTTGTGAACTAAAACTGTTCTTCAAATCATTGTGTACATGTTTACAAATATCAAAATGTTCCACTGAATCAAACTTATTATTAAATAAATTCATTGCTACTGAAGATTCTGTGTTAAACATGGCGCTATTGAACATTGATTGCAACGCCGCAGTAGCTAATGCCGCTGTTGAAATCGATGTAGGTGGTAGTGATAAATTTGACGAGCTATTATTTAATAAACCATTTGTAACTGTATCATTTAACATTTTTATAAGAACATGTAATTGATCTGGATCCATTTGATTCATTAGAGTAGTATAGAATGATGTGGAATGTTTGCAAAATAATGAATTAGTTAACGGAGGGACAGAAGGAAGTGTGAATGGTAATGATGTTGGGGGTAGTAATGGTAACGATGACTGTAGGTTTATGTTGGGTTGTAGTAGATGGGGTGGAGATCGAAACGCCGTACTACTGTTTGGTAAAGTTGATAAGAATGGTGAAATTGATGCTTTCGTTGTGTTAGATTCATTAGAACTATGTCTATTTCGACTGAATATAAATTGTGATTTACATGTTTCTATGTTGAATGATTTTGGCTCATCTTCATCATCGTCATCATTATTATTATCATCATCATCATCACCATCAGCATGGTTATTTTTATCATGTGATTCCATAGTGTTTGAATTAAAAATGATTGGATTATTTAATTGTGTTGATAAATTCATTGATGGGGATTTATCAGGAAAGCATAAATTCGGTGTTTTTTGACTGATTAACATAACGATTAATAATAGTAATAAAGATAACAACAATAATAATAATTTGTAATTGTAGTAGTACTGTACAATTGTATCTTACTTATTTGAAAGAAGTGTCGCATTGCTAATTTTTATATAACTACCTAATATTTACGTAAACTCTCTCTCTCTCTCATACACACACACACACACTCACATACACACATACATATGCATGAAATTAACATCTCAACAAAAATGTTAAAACGATTGGATACTAAATCCTTTTTAAAATTGATAGGGGGATGAATAAATAGAATGAAACATAACACTTTTAACCAATAGAATGCTTTCACACTTGTTCATAATAACCAGATCTAAAAATTATTGGTGTCAATTTTCGAAAGTCTATGTATATATGTATGAAAAACATTCAGAATATTACTGTATTAACACATGCCTATAATGATATTAGTTATTTCCTTATTCCATGTAACCCTTTTGCCCTCCCTTCTAAAAGTATAAACATTAAATACTTCTCTATCCGTTTATCTATCACATTGTCTAACTAATTTTCTATACTAGAAAATTCTATTTGTTGTACACGAATAAACAAGGAAAAGGAGAAAAGAGAGAGAGAGAGAGAGAAGGAATAACAGAGAATGATTATTTTAAGCGATTATGTACCATATAATCATAGGAGATCAAAAAGCATTACAGTTGGATTGGCTAAAAAAAGAATCAAACATTAGAAAAGAAAAACTATTTTCTCCTTTTTTTCGTTCTTCTTTTTTTTTTTAAAAATAATTTTTTCTTCTCCTTGGTTTATTGTTGCCTCCTATAGATATTCTCTTCGTTAACTTCTTTTATTTTCACTCTTTCATTCCTCTCTATTATATACTCGAATTGTTCAATATCTGTTTATAATACAGTTTAGTTGTTGTTTTTTTGTTTGTTTTGTTAGTAGAATGCCAAATTTAATAGACATAGACATGGTGAACGGGTCGTTTTATAGATAATTTGTATGACTATTCTTAATAATAGTCATTAAACAACAATAACAACAACAACAACAAATCACTCGTAATCATAGCATAGTGTTTATTAGGTCAAAAAACCTAGACAATTTACTGGATATGACGATGATGATGATGATGATGATGATGATGATGACAACAATATTAATAATAATAGTGACATGAAAGTAAACAAAATTCACTTCACAACACATACATACAAATACATTACATAGTACATCGTACAATTAAACGTGTGCATCGAATCTACTAATAATGAGTTATGTATGAATTTAAATGAGGTCATTTATATTGGTGTTGCTTTTTAACAGAAGTGAAATATATTTTCTTGTTTGTTTGAAATTTACCACCATGAAGAAGATAGTCAATTCAGAATGGGAGTTTGTGAAGATTGTAGTAATTTAATGATTGAATTCATTAGTCAATATAAATTTATACCATCATGGAAAACCTGGAAGCACTGGACGGCCATTTCATTTCAACCGTATATATTGTGATGAAGTAACTCGCTGAAGACAATGGTGGATGGTCACGTAATATCAGGATTTTGGTTAGAGTTAAACATCAACACCATTGGATACCGATTCAGTGGTCTAGAGGTTAAGCGTTCGTGTGTGAGACCAATAGGCTTTGGGTTCGATTGATGTGTGTGTGTGACCGTCCAGTACTTCAAAGTTTTTCATGGTGGTCTAGCTTAAATCGACTGATGAATTCTACCATAGTCAATTCAGTTGATAAATCTTTCAAACAGATTACACCTAAGGGTGATCTTAAATTTCTTGAAAATTAGGAAGTATTGATCAATTGTAGGTTCCATTACAATGTGACCTTATTTATACAATGATTGAAAATCAAGAAGCAGTAAACAGTTTATTCCCGCCTAGTGTGGAGCTCTTCATCAGTGCACATCCACGACCCCACTGAAAATCAATTGGAATTCGATATGTAAACAGGTGGATGATGGTTCAGTAATCTAAAAGCGTGAAACCTGAAGCCCCCATATTCTATTTCAGGTTGGGTCGTGAACATACACTGATGAGGATTCTCATGCTAGTGTGAAAGTTGTGTGCCCCTTCCAGACTTTCAATCGTTGTCTAAATAAGATCACTATAAGATGGAGTCTGAAAATCCAGTAATCTCCACAAACTCAGTATACTAATTCTTGAGTTTATACAACAAATTGTCATTAGCTCGGAAATTAAGAAGTATTGCGGGGTAAGCGTTTTGTTCTAGATCAATGAATGTTTATAACTTCATATCTGAGGTAGAAACCACAGTATTCGCTTCTTATGAGAAGCACACAAGCGTTCTGCTCATTCGTTCCATATTTAACTTGTCACATTATCAAGGTCAGATAATTTATGTTCACCTACCAACCATCATTGATACCTGTCCTATTTTGGAAATAGTAAAACTCTATTGATCAAACCTTCTGACTAAAACATCAAGGATATTCCTAGAAGTGATTACATAATCAATAATAATGGTATAAAAAATCGGTATTGGTTTATTGTTGAATGATTTTATCCCAGGTTAGTTATATGTTCACCCTAGTCTGATATCTCTACGTCGTGTACCTCATACTTCACAGCCCCACATGTAAGAGAGAATTCAAGGTAGACATACCCCACGATAAATTTAGACCGTGAAATCGGAATAATTTGGTTCAGATTTAGGCAATATTAACCAATGTAGTCGATAAGCTATGTTTAAAACATCATACATACATATTTCAAGCTACAACTATACATTTGTTAAATAAAAAGCCTAATAGATTATTCACTAAAAAAGAATTAGAAGATTATTCCTTTTAATGTTAGTATAAAATTTTTATGAAGATTGTTCGGTATGTAATTAGCATCATGACATCAATGCTACTAGTTTCACCATCAGCGCAGTTGCTCAATACCATGAAATGACTGAATTTAGAAATGAAAAAAACTAGGTCTCAACCTAGTTATTTAAAAGCCAATTTCCAACTGAAAGGCCTGAAAGTCTAGATCTCAATCTCTGGAGTAGCTGTGGGTACACATATATACACTCCTAAAGACTTACATATGAAACGACGAAACAGTTGCCCATTACTCGATGTTTTCTAAAAAAAGTTTATTTAGCTGAAATCAGTTTATTGTTTGTACTTGTTTTCTTTCTAATTATCAGAATTTACTATGTAAAGATATCTAGAGATTAACACGGTTGGATGTCGACCAGCTCATTGGTCTAGTGATTAAGCGCTCGCGCATGAAACTGATTGTCCTTAGGTTCGAATATTGCGAGGCAGGATAGTGGATGCTCACTTCTGAGAAGATCGACAATAGGATGAAACAAACGTCTAGTACTTCCAGGTTTTCCATGGTGGTCTAGCTTCAATTGACTCATGATCTCAACCACTGAAATTACCATAATACCCACAAAAACCCTTCTGATATCTAAAATTATTGATTGAGATCATGAATTAATCCATGTTAGATCATCATTAAAAACTTGGAAGCACAGGATGGCCGTTTCATTCTAATATGAGACTCCTCGGAAGTGTGCATCCACAGTTTATAATGAACTTTGTTAATGAATATTTAAACGGCAAAGTAAAAATATTTCACTTATAAATACTTTAATTATACTAGAAAAATAATTTAAATAAAAAGTTTAATTATGTAACTAATTGTTCAATCATTAATTCATTGTTCAATTGATTGATTAATTGACCATTTTCAAAGTATTGCATTAGACATCCAACCATATACCAACATGTATCAGGTTAGGCAACTTATTAAAACCGTCTAACCGTTTATTTTCAAAATGGTAATTAGCTGACATAAATATCCCTTTCTTAAATTTGTTTCTAACTGACTAATTATGACTATTAACTGAGTGTACGTACTTACACATTTTCATATAAAATGTTTACAATTCGTTGTGAATATTAAACAGTGGAATCTAAGATGTGTGTTTCGCCCTATTTGAGATTTTTAGAATTATGGTCAACTATGATATTAGTACTGCTCTAATAGTTGACCTAATTCTAAAATTGTAGATTTGTTATGATATAACTGCCTAATCTATAAGATCTTAAGTGGAAGTTACGTTATCGTCCACATCAACTGATTGCATCGTAGCAATTACCAATACATGATGGAGAACAAGCTTAGGCTAGAGATAGAACTATATTTAATATGAATAAAAGATATAAGGTAACATTCAGCAGGGACCACGCCCTCAAGGCCGAGCCATGCCATACGATCAACTTGAATTAATTTAATTCATTGTTCCCGCCTTCACCATCGTTGGGTTTTTCTCCGCGTTAAATGTTGAACATCTGTTTCCCCAATTGTCTCGTGTTCAGCTTTGATGATTGTATGGTTAGGGCCCAATGCCACTACAGATTCGTCAATTGAATGCACATACATCATATAGTTTATGTACATTAGGAAGATTCAAATAACCAATGTAAATGAATGAATTGTCGCAAATATAATAACTGGGAAGCTCGAATAGTACCATTACGATAGTTCGGATAGTTTTATTTTCTTCTCTCTTTATTCTAGGGAAACATGATATGATTACTATAGGATTCATACATCAAATATAAACAGTGGTGAAAAACAATATCATAAAAATAAGAGTGACTGATAAGATTTACGAATGAATATGTTTGTTAATTTACTTACTTATTTACGCCTGATACTCCCAATGGAGCATAGGACGCCGACCAGCATTCTCCAACCCACTCTGTCCTAGGCCTTCTTTTCTAGTTCCATCCAATTCTTGTTCATTCTTCTCATGTCTCTCTCCATTTCTCGGAGTAATATATTCTTTGGTCTTTCTCTTTTCCTTTGGCCTTAAGGATTCCATGTGAGAGCTTGCCTTGTGACGCAGTTGGGTGCTTTCCTCAATGTGTGTCCTATCCACTTCCAGCGCTTTAGAAGTGGTAAGTATAGGTGATAATACTGTTACGTAATATCGTCTCTGTTAAATTAAGGTATATTATAAGATATAATTCTTTTG